AACTTCGACCTGTCCAGAATGAACCTCTGCTCCCTTCCTCGTTTCCAGACCGACCTTGGTCTCGATTGGCCATGGATCTGTTTGACCTGAATGGTCAGACCTACGTCGTCGTGGTCGACTATTACTCTCGTTGGGTAGAGCTACGCTTACTCGAACAGCTCAACAGCGTAATCATTATCAATAAACTCAAGTCCATCTTTGCCACTCATGGCATCCCAGAGACAATTTCCACGGACTGGCCCATTAGACTGGATGTTATAATTAAATAAGTAGAAGGGCATTAGGCTGAATGGAAACCCTCATCAGGCAGAAAACAGCCTAAAGGCTGCATATTGTGTGGTTTCATGTAAGACATTAGCAAAGAAAAGTTACTACTGCATTGCACGTATGAGTTGGACTAACCCTGAATACTAAGACCTGTGTGTTTGATGTTGGATGTATATTAACAGACTCACAATAACAGATAAGCAAAATTAATGAGTTCATATCAATACACATAAACTTTTAAAAAAACTTTTTAAAGAAAACAAAAACATATCCCATTTCAATGGCTAGATGGAAGACTCTGACAAACAACATTTTGAAATTTGGCATTTGTCAGAATCTTACGCCCAACCATCAATTTGATTTCAAACTGTATTTGTTAACTCATTCGCTACGCCGAGCCGTTTATGGCTATTTTGATGTATCATTCGACTAGGTGCAAACATATTTTTTGAGTTTCACCGAAGATGATTAATTTTTAATTTTCAAATTTAATCCGCATTGAAAAAAAATGTTGTTGCATAATCGCCTCTTACAGGAACCAAAGTTGAAAAATACACAAATAAATATTACAGATGTATTCTACATATCATACTGAAGATTTCGGTGCATAATATGTTAATATTCATTTGAATTTGTGGCCCCAAAGACCTTTGAACTGCGCACTATTCATCATCTCATTTCTCCTTCCCCAAAAAAATTTGTTCACAGGCCGAAAATAATATGTAGCGAATGAGTTAAAACTCAGTAACTCTTACACCTGAAATTATGATAGTCATAAACTTGTGATATACAAACATATGAACACATACCTTTCTTTTGCTAGCATTACATGATAGCATGTAGTTTGCACTCACCTACACAAACACCCTGTTCCTCCTGATAACCTTTCAAACAGGAGCATTCATACGATCCAGGGGTATTGGAACAAATCGTATTGGGTCCACAAAGATTTTGCTGACACTCATCCACATCTGAGTACACATAAAGACAAAAGGTCAATGTAGAAAGAGATAATACACATGTTATTTTCAGACAAGATATATTTGAGGTCTCTATTTGGAAATAAGTTGACCTATTCTGCACTTGCGGTGTCTCCATTCTTTATTAGGCTAACATGGGGTAATAGCCATGATGCCAGGTGTGAAAGATGATTTTAATATATTTAATAAAAAGAGATCTGAAGCAAATTGTCGCCCAAATTTCATTGGGGCTTAGTAGGGAAATACATGACTTCATTAAATGGTCTTCTGTGTCTTTTTTCAGATGCACTACATGTCCACCGTCGGCCTATATGACAAGCACACTCTATGAGGGCTACATTTTGACAAAGACGTCATTAAAAAAAGACTTGATATGGAGTTTTCCTATACACAAATCAAGCTGAAGCTTTTTGCCAGAAAGACAAAGAGCAAAACCATTACACTACCTATGTTGATTAACGTAAAGCTCAAAGTCACCAAACTTAGCTGTAAAAAATGTTGAATGAAGCTTTGATTGCTTTTGATGGTGACAACGGCAACCTAAAAAGGAAGAAAAACACAAAATTCAAAGACAAAAAAGATTGTACCTATACATTCTGTTCCATTTTTGATAAATCCTGTTTTACAGGGACAGTTGAAAGAGCCCACAGTGTTGCTACATTCCTCGTTTGCCGCGCAAGGATTTCTTTGACATTCATCTGTGTCTGTGTATAGAAAAAATAGTTGGTATTAATTTTTTTTTAGTTTAAGTAACAGTTTCAGGGCACTTGCAACACAATAAGGTCATACAAGGGAGGAAAATTAGAAGTGTAACAAGAGAGTAGCATATACAAAAAAAGAAGGAGGAGAGATGCAGATGAATAATTTTTTATAAGAAGAAAGGAGCAAACCACACCAGAGCATCCACCAACCACTCACGGAGTTGGCATTAAAATTCAGTTTTAATGGAAGTATACGGTAAAGAAAGTGACATGACTGTTCTTCAGAATTATTTTAAATCATGACATAGATGACTTTATAAAGTTATTCTGGCTTCATAAACACCACAAAGGATTAACCCTCTTCTGAATATTAGGCCTGCATAGTTGTAGGCTGTATAATGAGTTTTGGATAATGTTAAAAAGAAATGCAAAACACTCTGAAACCCACAATATTTTAAAATAACAGTCGCTAAAATGTTCCATTTTCCCAATACAAAACACAATGTATTGTGTGACAAACACACGAGCCAGTGTAATCATCACAAGTTCCAACCAGAGGTCAAAATTGCATAGTAGCGATACTAAAATGTGAGGCATCATGGTGAAATCAGGCGTTCGTCAAAATAATGAAATCAAAGGAAACAGCTGTTATTGAGTGTGCATGTGCGTGCGTGTGTGTGTGTGTGTGTGTGTGTGTGTGTGTGTGAGTGTGTGTGTGTGTGCATGTGTGTGTTTGCTGTAAGTGAAGAACACTTAGTGAAGAAGGCCAAGGAAAATTTTTTTTAAAAACCTTTAGTAGTATGTCATTGAATATCAAGCAGCCAACTAATCAGCCACACATTCATTAAAAATTAATATAAAAATCTTTAGACAATGTTCTCATGTTCAAAAGGGAAAATGACACCCCCCCCCCCCTATTGAAATGAAAACTGAGGAAAAAAGTACACACGATATTGTGGATTCAAGGCTTAAAGTTTTCTTCTGGTAATTTCAAAACAGAACTTCATCTTCCCAGTGACAAAGCCTATGCATCAGTTTCTAATGCATTTCTATGGAACAGTTTCAAAGAGCACTTACCTATGCATTCATCATTTGCATCAGGTTGGTAGCCAATAACACAGGTACACGTGTATGAACCCTCATTGTTGTCACAAACTTCGTTGGCATCGCATGGGTTTTGTTGACATTCGTTCACATCTGAGAAAAGATTTGAAAAGCTGGTCATCTCACAGATTGCTCAAAAAACAAGTTCTCTTGGGCCTCAGTGGTCTACCAGACTCGTAAGCATGAGATTGCGGGTTCAGGGGGTGGGTTGAGACTCAGCTCAGCTACCTGAGCAAAAGTAGAAATGTTTTGTTTTGGTTTTTTTCAAGTATAGATGTTTTTACATAGACCATTTTGCAGGCCAGCTTCCAACCCTGCATTTCAGGGCCAACCACTAGTGAAAGGGATGTATCCCAGCACAAAGACTGAGATCTTTGAAACAAATTTTCTCCCCACTCAGGAATCACACTCTGGTCTTCTGCAAGTGACAGCAAAGAACATAACTAAATGCTGCCTGCACCACAGATGCCTGTTAGTAAAAATGGATGGAGAGAGAGAGAGAGAGAGAGAGAGAGAGAGAGAGACAGACAAAGAGAGAGAGACAGAGAAAGAGAGGGACACACACACACACACAGATTTAAAAAATACCAAGTGTGTGTCTTACCTATACAGTCTAATTCATTTAAGATAAATCCAGAGTCACAGGCACAGGTAAAAGAGCCATCGTTGTTGGAACACACCTGATTTGCCCTACAAGGGTTTCCTTCACATTCATTTATGTCTGTAAGGAAAGAGTATTAATCAAATTTTTACTACTTCACTGCAGTGAAGACACATGGCGATCTCTCAAGCAGGTTCACTACCCATTTTTCTATTTTCCTACTGATGTATTGAGGATGGTTAAAAAGATGTTTTTGTCGTTTGTGCAGCTTCTTATTCTTAATAAGGGGAAACGCAGCATGGCTATGTTTAAATCTCTCATGAATTTTATCTTGTCCGGACAAACGTAGTTGGAAAAAAACTCAACACTGATAGAGTTGACATCACCTAAACAATTTAAAAAAGTGTAAAAGGCAACCATTTTTCACACTCTGCAACATTTCGAATGAGTACTTAAATATGATTAGTGGGTTGCTTTTGAAAATACTACGTTTTCATCAGAAGACAGACTGGGTCACCATAAAGAAAGAAAAAGTTATCAGAAAAAAATGTTTGTTAAAGTTGTTGCTTCAAAACGAAAGATCTAATCAGTCATTCCCAGAACCAATTTTTCATCCAAACTGGAGACCTGAGTATGGATTAAGAGTTGTGGGACTGTGAAGCGAGTATGGACTAAAAGTCGTGTGACTGGGAAGCTATTGCAACAACCAGTCAAGTGAAAGATGACTTAAACTGCAGATATCCTTTTCCAGATGACATATTGCGTTTGAGCCCACAGAACAGAGCTTCATTGGGGAGTTTCTGTCTGATACATATGCTATACCACCACAAGATCCATCAGTATCGAGTTTGAGAAAACTACCACAATTTACTAACACAAAAAAAATTGCCAAAACGTTAGGAGGAGACTTTAATAATAAGTATATTTAGAGAGAGTGTTACTTCAGCATAAAAGTAATTCTTAAACCATAGTGGAGTACCACACCATGGAATTAATCATTTTACTCGAGTGAACGTAACTATACCTCATAAAACGAAGCACCTAGGTCAAATGAGTGTAACTACTAGTACCACGTAAAAGTAATAATTCAACCAGAAAGAAGTAATCTAAAACATAAAAATAATGATGTTACTTAAGAACATATAAATACCAGAAACCAACAACAAATACACAGATCTTAAGAACCCAGCAAAGATCATCATAGATTAAGAACAAAAGATCTTAAAAGCAGTCTCACAGTTGGCTAACAGAGCAAAGAACTCTTTGTGACTGACTCACATATAATAAGAGTACCGAAAATCACATAATACACTGCCTTCCTTGTGGCTGAATATCAATTAGAGATCCACAAGACAGGGATACAAAAATATAAAAAATATTGTTACTTCAGGTTATTCTTCAAATTCTAGCCTCAGTGAACTCCTCAGTCTGTTAAAAGAGAAAATTGAGTCACAACATAGTGAAATCAGGCGCTCGTCAATATCTGGGCACATGGAATTCTTGGTATCATCTCAAAAGCCTGTTCATTTACCTTGCTTTTGATTTTTAAAAACCCAAAAAACATTTATCACATGATTCGAGATATTTCTGAACATTAGACGCTCATCAAAATCATGAAATCCAAGAAATCAGCATTTTTTGGTCAGTTTGGAATTTTTTTTCGAATTTTTTTTTTGGCTTAACACCCTTTATGTCCTTATGAAAACACATTTCTGTGTAAATTTTACTGAAAAACATTGATTAACTCTTTTTCTACCAGGACAAAATCCACCACTGGCCTAGGGCTTTTCCCTGACCTATTTTTACGCCCTTACCCCACCAAAGAAAATGTCAAAACATCCAACTAAACACACACAAATCATATCTTATGGCCCATCATACTGAAGGTTTAAAAAAATATATCACATGGTGGTACAATATTGAACATTTATTCCAATTATATTAGTTTCGGGTTTCTAAAAGTGAATATGCAATATTGAAGGTGTCGTATGAAATCAACAATTTTCCAGCTTTGAAAGTTCATAACAAAAAAAGTACAACAACAGCATCATTCAAACTTCCTAGGTATGTTGCCTCAAGTAATGCAAAGAAATGCTGAAATTTATGTATGTATGTGTACTCATTATAGAAGTGAAAATATGAGACATATACTGAAGTCAGGGGAACACTTTTCTTTTCATTTCTATGTTTCGAAGGGGACAGAAAAAAGCGCTGAAATGACTTAAAAATCATCTGTCGATGCTATATTTTCTTTCCTAACTGCTAACAGGAAATTCTATTATTTCGAAAGCATGGATCTGTCGAGAATTTCGTACATTTTCATTCCTGGATTGGAATAGATAGCGAGCCGCTCGAGCCATATTTTGCGACTCTCGGTCAAGCGAGGCCACATCCGCGAGCCAGCTCGTGGTAGGAAAAGCGTTGATGGCAAAAAATATGTAAATTTTCAGTTTTCAAGGACTCTCAAGCTATAGAAGTTACCAAACTTTGGCAACCATTTTCTCGCTAATTTTACCTCTAAAATCATGCTATCCCCACCCCCTTCAATTGCAAATATTTTCACTTCTATTCAAGATAGATGGGTGTTCTTTTCCTAGAAAGCCAGGTAAAAGAAGTTTTCAGACGATACCAATAACTCCACATGCCCAAAAATTGATGAGCGCCTGATTCCACCTTGACGTGACACATTTGCAATTGAAGGAGCTGGGGGGGTTGCCTATTGTCAGAGGTAAAATTAACGAGAAAATAGAAGCCAAAGTCTGATGACTTCAAAAGCTGTAGAGTCACTGGAAACTGCAAAGTTACATTTTGCGTGCCTTTGATAAAAATTTTCCTGTAAAATCCACACAGCAATGTGTTTTAAAAGGACTTAAAATGTGTTGAGCCAAAAACAAAAAACAAAATTGATAAAAATTGCCCAACATGTGGAAAAAATGTTGATTTCTTTGATTTCATCATAATGCAACTCAAGTAGAGATCCAGAAGTCAGGAAAGAATGAGGAAAGAACATATTGTTACTTTATGTCATTTTTCAAATGCAACTCTCAATGGACTCCTCAGTCTGTTGAAAGAGAAAAAAAATCCAGTACAAAATAAATGTTTTACCTGAACAAACTGTTCCATTCCTGACAAAGCCAGAATCACACCTACAGTCAAAAGAGCCCTCATTGTTGGTACACTCCTCGTTCGCCTGGCATGGGTTCCCTGTCACACATTCATTTATGTCTGTTTTGGACAGAAAAAAGTTACATTGTATTTTCCATCACAATACTCAGAATGTACAGTTTGCACATGGGACCGGTTCATAGACTGAGAGCAAGCTTTCCGTGCATAATGACTTAGTAAAGCACTATTTGTAAATGTTTTTATTATGTTTTCATAAAAATCTTATGACGCTGGTTACACAATTAGATCACATGTGTGCCCAAGATGAAAGATCTTACTAGAGAGCATAACAAACACAAATAGGAAGGACGAGAGATATGAATAATAGATGTTTAATCGGAAAGAAGGGGCAAACAACATCAGAGCACCTGCCAATCACCCATGTAGATTTAACAAGTAACCCTGGCATACTGCTTGCAAAACATTGAAAGAGAGACAGAATTCCCTCTGTGTAAACATTAAAATTCCAAGCAAGAACACAATTTGTGCAATTACAATTTTGGGTGACATAGCTTCAGTACATGCCATGCTTGTTTGCTTAGTAAATCATATTTTCTACCGCATTTCTCCTATAACTTTAGCATTTAGTATTTTGCTCTGTGCCAATAGATCATTGTATTTGGATCTAATACCATGTGCACAATGCAGAAATTATCATCATTTGGTGTGTATGGTTTGATACATCTGACAGCAACCAGGTTTTCCTTCATGGAGGGGCAAAAGCTATCATTTTAGCACTATTCTAGCAAATCCTTTAAAAAATTATAAATGTGTCATGAAGCGGTGGAATCAGGCGCTCGTCAATTTTTGGTCATGAAAAGTTATTGGTATTATCATAAAGCTTGTTCATTTGTTCTGCTTCGGATGGAAAAAATATCTGTTTATCTTGAATACAAGTCGAGATATTTGCGAATGAAGGTGGTGGGGTCAACTGGTTTCAAAGGCAAAATTAGAGAGAAAATGGCCACCAAAGATTATTTATTTCCTTAGCTAGAGAGTCTGTGGAAACTGAAAATTTAAATTTTTTGTGCCTTTTTTCATAAAATTCACACAGAAAGTGTTCTTAAACGGGCATGAAAGGTGATAAGCCAAAAAACAAAAAATTGATAAAAATTCACAAACCTACGGAAAAATGCCAATTTCTTCACTTTGATTATTTTGACGAGCGTCTGATTTTACAACACTGCCTCACAAATATTTGATTTTCTACGTCACATTTTGATGTTTGATAAAAACAGCCAAACAAAAGGCTAGTGTGTCAGATCTTTTGTTTACTCATGGAATTAGCAAAATGGGATAAACCTTAAAGGATTTCCCTTATGGACCAAATTTGATGAAGAAAAACTAAGGCCATTTGATAAAGTGTGCACTGGTCAGCGCTATTACCCAACTCAACCTTGATCCAATCTGTTCATTCAACAAGTTTGGTCTGCAAGACATATTCAGAGTTGAAGATAAGACAAGTCAGTGTGTACATATACCAAAAGGAAGATGGAAGGATTAACCCTCGTCTTGCGGGAGCCTGGTTTATGACGCGCGATAAGTCTATTTCGGCACCTCGCCTACTTTCTGGTCCTGAATCAGTGTAGCCCCTGGCTCAGTGCACGCGCAGCGCGCATCATCTTACGAGTCATTCGGGTCCCCAGTCGGATCCCCATTCACGCAGGTCAAGTGTGTGTGCGTCAGTCTGCTTGAGTTTGTGTGCGTTTGTGGCCTTCTTCTAGAACCGCCTGAATTGGTTCGTAATCGAGGCACACGTCTCATTCAAAACATGCCAAGTTGGTAACTCTAGATGTTGGTCCAATGAAATTATAGAAGAAATTGACCCACTTAGCCATGAGGAGCTCGAAAGGATAGTCAGGAAACAAGACTTCCATTTTTCTATACAAAATCTTTCAAATGAGCTTGATTTTGTATGAAATGATACTACCTGATAAAAAATAAGCTTGTTTGATAGTTTTGAATACCATTGTGCAGGTAAAAAGAACAATTTGAGTATAAAACATTAGGAAATTGACCTGTATTATCCCCTTTCGAACCTCAGGTCATTCATAACAACAAGAGCATCCAGAAAGGTTATTCGAATAGGCGTAACTACTCATAATGTCTTATCAGCTTGTGAGAGGGGGTTATTCATGTGTTTTTAACACTTTATAAATAGAAAGCTATGAAAGATAGAGCGTTATTTTCATCATCTGTTAACACACTCCCGCGGTATTCATGGCGAAAACACACGTTTCCCAGCGCGCGTGCTGTACACCAACAGTACACATTGAGTGACCCCGGCGGCCTGCCTGGCACGTCCGACGTAATCGGTTGCTGATAAGATTTGCATCTCGGCACAGATGCAGGACAAGAGTTAAAGCTTGACCTCTAAATGACAAGCTCCCCAAAGCTTTTAGTCCAGAAAAATCATGTACTAATAAACAAAAGCTTTGGTCAAAGCCGCAAATATCCATGACTCAATCCCTTGTTGAAAAGAAAAACCCTTATTTCGAACTCCAAAAGAATTTTTTTATTGTTGTTATTATTATTATTATTATTATTATTATTATTATTATTATTATTATCATAATCATTACTATTATTATTATTATTATTATTATTATTATTATTTTTAGTACTATTATTAACAATGAAGGAATAGTTTTATTATTATTATTATTATTATTATTATTATTATTATTATTATCATCATCATTATCATAGGAAGACGCAAGCCTCAAGACTTATTTCTTTACCTGAACACACTTGTCCCACACGTGAAAAACCTTGAGAACATGGACAGGTGAAAGATCCAATACTGTTGAGGCACTCTTCATTCACCTTGCATGGATTTCCATCACATTCATCTAGGTCTGTATACAAAATAAAAATACATGTGTTCTGTGAAGAGTGAAAATAATAAAAATTCCCTGTGTGTCAAGGCTTCAACTGTGCAGGTCAAAGTAGAAACAAAGTTGTACATCATTACTGCCCAAAATCACTGTATGGCTCAAATTTTCGTATTCCAAAAGATATGAAAGAGACCAAAGTATAAATTATAACAAGCTGCTTCGTCCATATAATAGTTTAGGTGTCATCTCATGGACAGTCAGCACTAAATAATAAAAGGATATAAAGCGGCTATCACTTTAATGGCTGCAGAGACAACAATAAGAGCTTAAGATCCATTTGCAGACACGATTTGGCCAGTACCTCATTGTATAACAAGCAGCAGATCTGCAGTAAACCAATCATGCTGGTTACCTATATAGGCCTATGATATTGTCTCTGCTACTCATATGTATCACTACATGGTGGAATCAGGCACTCATCAATTTTTGGGCTTCTGGATTTATTGGTAACATCTAAAGCTCCTTCATGTGTTTATCTTTAGATAAAAAATAAAACACTCATTTATCTCGAATAGAAGTCGAGATATGTGTGATTGAAGGAGATGCAGGTCACCTGGTTTCAGAGGTAGAATTGGTAGTGGGAAAATAGTTACCAAAGTTTGGTGACTTCCTTAGCTTGAGAGTCCTTGGAAACTGGAAATTTGCATTTTTGAGGCGTTTGATCAACATTTTCCAGTATTCTACACAAAAAGGTGTTTTAAATGGACGTAAAAGGTGTTGAGCCCAAAGACAAAAGTTCGAAAAAAATCACCAAACGGGTAGAAAAATGTCGATTTCTTTGCTTTCATTATTTTGACGAGTGCCTGATTTCACCACAATGCCTCACATAATATCATCTGTGTATACTAAAATATTGAAAAAAAATCATCCTAGGTTTAAGAGGAAAATTTAGCTTAAAATCTGCCCAAAGTAGGCCTACACATGTGGAACAACTGCTCCTTGTGCATTTCTACACTTTTTCAACAGTGCCTCTCACAGACTACCCAGCTTAAACATTTTCATTAAAGAACTACAATGTATTTCCTTACCAACACAGACACCACTGGTGCCATTCTCATAGCCAGCAGAACAGGAACAGTCAAATGAGCCAGGTTTGTTTGTGCAGTCTTCGTTTTCTCCACATGGGTTTGTATCACATTCGTTGATATCTGAGAAGAGAGAAAAAAGTGGATAAAGGCTGAAACTGAATAACGCAAACAAGTATTTTCAAAATAGAAAGAGCTTCCATTTCACAACGATTTGTCTAAAAACTGTTACACAACAAACCCCAACCCCCAAAAAAAAAAAAAAAACCCACAAAAAAACTTAAAAAACAAATAACAATTCATCATATATTTGTCAGTCTGTCTGACGTCCGTCCGTCTGTCTGTCTTCTCCTCCCCCACACAAGTTGAAAATCCTTGAGCCTAACTTCTAATGCCATCTCGCACAGCAAGGAAGCATCTCTGCTCAAGGCAAAGAAATTGCAACATAAACTCAATCCCAAAAAAGGCCCTGAGAATAAAGGCACAACTCTGATCAAAATTACTAACTTTAAAAAAATTGATTACAAAAAGCAACCAAGCATGATAAGAATATAAAATAAAAGGCAAAACATTGGTTAAAGATTTTGATTTTCAGTCAAATAGCAGTCAATGTTTCTGGCCTGGTCATGGATAGTCCACCTACTACTTCTAGCTTTATCTTCATCCTCGCTGTCTATCTCCATTACTCAATCTCGCTCTAAATTCTCATGTCAGATTTCTCACTCTGACCAGGCATTAGACCCTAATTCATTTAATACTCCCCTTCATTGTCATGATAGCCTTTTAAATCAATTTAACAAGCAAGATCAATAATACCTAGATTCATGCTTGACTCTGGGAAAAAAGAAATTTCAAGAAATCATGTGTCAAATTCAAATGATCCTATTTCTCTTTCCAGTAACCTGGTCACAAAACCAAAAGTTTCTGCAGAAATCAGACGATCTCACCAAACCAAACGTCATACTGATAACATTAGTTGAGCAAGATTTCATTCATTATTCATTCAGGGGTAAATCTGGACCACAGGCGGTAGGGGGCACAAAGCTATTGGGCGACAATGGGAAATCTAGGCACTCAAGACGGTTTGTGCAACGGTTGACTTTGGTTGATCTACGCAGGAACAAATCAAACCTGATATGAATATCAAGCACAACATGTTCATTAAATCCTCATTGCAAATAAAAGAAGCTGCTCACCCACACATCCTAGCACTGCACCCTGTCCTGGCTCATAGCCAGACCGGCAGTCACAACTGAATCCAGGGTCAGTGTTGTTGCACACTTGATTCTGATCACATGGATTGGTCGCACACTCATTGATGTCTGCCACAGAATGAAAATATACAACAGTGAAATTAACAATTCCCTTCATGTGTTTCAGAAAAGGACTGGCCTTTTCATGTAGGACCTCAATAGCTTTTATTGTCGTTCAATGAGGATTGTCGGGTAATTTTATAAGTCGTTTGATATATTTGTGAAAACCCCATAAGGACAACTTACTTTACTTTTACTCCTATATAAATGACAAATTTTGCTTTTCTTCCAAATTTGTATAAAGTGCTGTTAGTGCAAGATTAGGGAGTCATGTCATGTTCATGGTGAAAAATGTTTGCGTGGGTGTCAAACATCATTGAGGGTCTGTGGGAGGCTGTCATGATATTCGATACTTATACTCGAATATAGTGAAGATGTTCGATACGAAAATGAACACTCCCTTTTCCTATGAAATCCCACTTCTGACACCATGTTATGTATTCTTGATATTTGATCTATGTCAGACGACCACAAGACGATAGTAAACATTCAGCCATATTGATTTCATAGGGAAGGGAAGTGTTTATTTTCATATCGAACATCTTCACTATATTCGAGTACAAGTATCGAATATCATGACAGAGACGGGTCCAAATGAATCCTTTTCAAGTCAAACGATTGAAGAGGAACACCTTACAATTCACATAAACTGGTTTTGCTAATACACCCCAACCATCACTGACTCCAACAAATTTTATTTTGCCATGTGACAAATTAAATGCAGAAATGAAGACAGGAGAATGTACTGAAAACGATTTCCTTTTCATCATAGTTTAAAAAAGTAAGAACGTATTCCATATGCTTTTTCTTCACATTCATAATGAAATTCAACACCTTACCTCATGGCAAAACAATAATATCATAAAGATCGATGGGTTCTTTTGACACTCATTACAGCAAAGGCTGTAATTAATTAATCCATACATAATCATTCAAAGATCACTGGTTTTGACAACATTGATTTATACAAATATTTTCTACAACCTTTGAGTAGATCACCATGAGTATACTGCAATATCGTAGCATTCAGCTTCTGCCCTACAGCTGATCTAGAAGGTAAAAAAAGCCTATAGCCAACAGTACCTGAAATCTAATGAAGGAGTAAAACAAAAAGTGTGAGAAAAAAAAGAAGAAATCTACCCGTAGACAGAATGCTGGCCACACCTTACCTGGACAAGTGTTGTTGAAGTCAGGCTGAGATCCTTGTGGACAGCGACATTCGAAAGAGCCATCTAAGTTGGTGCATACCTGTCTTGAAGTGCAGTTGTCTGTGCCTTCAGCACACTCATCAATATCTATGGGAGAAAAAAAGGATTATGACGCGTGCAGGATCTTTTTCATCGTAGTACTGCTCTTATCACATGACAACCATGGATTCTTCTAGCTGCCGGTAATGTACTTGAGAAGTTTTTATGTATGAAATTACTGTAATACAGTTTGATTCAAAATTCTGTCTGATTTTCCATTTTCTGAAATTTCTCATAAAAGTGTAAACTGAGGAGCTCTTTTTGATTTGATCAAATGCATCAACATGTTTTACCATTTTAAAAAAAGGCACTGGAGGCAACTTTCTTGCGCAGTAACCAGCGAGCTTCTTGATTACATGTGAAGATGTAATACATGGGAGCGAGAAGCACACAGCTTCCAATACAGGCAGAAAGTATATATCTTCTAAAGGGGTCTAGCGGTCTACGATTTTCATCAATTTTCAATGAAATTATCGATTTTCTGGAAAGTAGCTTTTAAAGCCTTTTGATCATTGCTGAATCCTCTTCTTTTGTCCATATTTCACCAAAACATGTTTAAATGGGTGAAAATGTTTCTCAATCAACCTCACACCCCCCCCCTGCAAAAACGATGAAAATGAAATTTTTTAATGTAATTTTCTCAAAACTTTGTTTTCTAAAGACCATTCATCACTAGAATCTTAAAATTTGAGCTACTAATCAAGATAATGTACTGAAACTTTCCAGGTATGAGCAGATTTGGTAGTTACAGGTACCTGGCTAGTTATATTTGAGAAAATGTACTTTATATTTCAGAAATCTGCATGTGAAATTGATTATTTGCATTTAAAACCGGTGCAAAAAAAAGGACATTACTTTGAAACTCCCAGAAATTCCAGAATATTGGAAGTACGGGATACCAAAAAATCGAACCAGGCTCCTATAACTATTATTATCAATTTGATATATAATAACAAATTAACATTATGCTTTTTGGTTTCAAAATTTAAAGATTTTCCTAAAAATTGTATCATTTCAATCCGCCGGTGTCACATAACACATAGGGTTAAATTGTTCTTAAACATTTTAATTTATTTTTAGTTACGACAATACACTATCAAAATGCTTTCTCTTTGAAGAAAAGAGAAATCCAGTTGTTTATGCACATTATACATAAATATAGAGACTTAAGACTAGAGGGAAAATTCGATATGTGAAATCTTTTATCCTACGAAACTAAAAAGAACAATAATTTTTTTGACCGAGTTGTTCCCCAAAGGACTAAGCTAAACACAAAGAAGCTATTTATGAGGATAAATAGAAACAAGTCATATCCTCTGTCAGATGATGTGTGTGTGTGTGTGTGTGTGTGTGTGTGTGTGTGTATGTGTGCGTGTGTGTGTTTGTGTGTGTGTGTGTGTGTGTGTGTGTGTGCGCGTGCGCGTGTGCGCGTGTGTGTGTGTGTGTGTGTGTGTGTGTGTGTGTGTGTGTGCGCGTGCGTGGCATGTGTGTATGCACATGTTATTAAATAATCTCACAATAAGCATTTTCTGTCTTTTGATTTGTCAGTTAAATTGAGCCATAATTCTTCACTCTATCAAGCTTAGAGCCTTCTAGGGATTAGGCATTGTATAAATTCCCATCATTATTCATTATTGTATCCAAGATGAAGTTTTACCTGTACACACAGAATTGATGACATTAAATCCAGCTGGACAAGTACAGTTGAAAGAACCTTCAGTGTTGTCACAAACTTCATTTACTGGGCATGGCTCCGAATCACATTCGTTTTTATCTGCTCAGAAAAAAAGACCCAAAAAAAATCCCAGTCAATATTACATTCCCAACCTAGCTGAACCACAAACATTCTGAACATTTTGAGATTGAGCAGAACAGAATTATATCTTTTTACACCTTTTAATCATATAGGCATGCATCACAAGTTGCAAATAAAGCACAATAAAGCTGATTTTCATGGCCCTGGCCACCTTTATCCTAGTCTAAGAAGGTTGTTGGCGGGTGCTCTGGTGTGATTTACTCCTTCTTTCCTATCCAACATCTATTGTCCTTATCTCGTCTCCTTTTTTGTTTGTTATTCTCTTATAACACCCCAAATCTTTGGTACTTATATGACCTTATAGTGTTGCAAGTGCCATAAAACTAACTAAATCTAAACCCTTAGTTTGGTATTCTATACGCAGCCTTGTAGTAGATGCTACTTCTATAAAGTAACACGTTTAACACATGAAGCATGGCAATCTAAAAACCATTGACATTTTTACCTGGTGAAATGAGGGCTTTGGAATAATGGAATAATTTCTATCAACCAGTGACGGTATTTCTTAATTTTTCCTTTGAAAAGGTCTGATTTCATACTAATTATACTTCTTTGTTTGTCAGGTACGGGGGGGGGGGGGGGGGGAAAGAAATAAAAATTCAGCCATGTTCACCTTTTTGAAGACAGCTCAAATATATGTGTACTTATTTATTTGCATACTCTTTTTAGTAGAGGTTTTACAGCGATCGCAACTGCAGAAGGTCATATGAGCGCCAAGGGGTGGATGTCAACAGATAATTCTTTACAGGGAATCAGGCTTACTCTGCTCCCCTCTCTAGCTTCAACAACACAAAGTCTGCTTTTGCATGCTCTGAGATGAGGGAAATATACTGACCAAACCCAAATTAAAAACCAGAAGGGACAAAGAAATCAAAGCTGAAAGAAAAGTTCTACAGAATACAAAGAGAAGCAGATCTCAGTACATTCCGACTGCTTAGTGTAAGGCTACTCCATAGGCTGTTTCGAAAAGTGGCACATGATGGAGTCTTTCACAGAGCAATTGATTTGTGCTTTACCTATGCATCCTGTTGCAGATTCGACAAAACCGGTAGCACATGGACAAGAGAAGCCACCGTTTGCATTTTGACAAACTTGATTCACGCCACATGAGTTATCAAGACACTCATTTATGTCTGCAGAAAGAGATAAAAAGGGTATTCATTATTAATTTCTCATAACACATAAACAACAGACATGAGTAGACTGCAGAACCTAGTATGTACACCTTGAAACACTTCAAAACAAGATGGTCCAACCTCATAAAAAAGAATCACAAAATCCCACGGTCTGAAAAACCTCATCCATCCTTAATTGAAAGTCACATTTCCAAAAATCCCTCACTCCCAAGTATCATAATTGATTCTTATAGAGATGGATGCAGCAAAGCTTTTTCAATGTACTTTTAAAAACTTATTTGGTTTCTTCTCACTTACCAAAGTGGCTGCAAAGAGCTTGGCTCAGATTTCCTTGAAGATTACTTCTCAACTAACACCCTAGTGCTGTTAAGGAATGGGTTAAATGCCACTATGATATAACATGGTTTAATCCACCTGTAAACACAGTTACATCAGATAAGAGGCAGGACCTATAAATTCAGCATTCATGTCCAAAAATACTAAACTAAGAGGGTGGAGAGTCCTGACAACTTCTCAAACAACCCTGTAAGTTCAAGGAGATACACCTGTGGATTTGACCAGGGTCATCTATCAAGTGGTCCAGCATGAAATCAACCAAGTTATCCGAGCAGCAAAACCTCCCAATAATCAAAATGAAATTATTCAAGACAGTGACAGACATTCATCCCCATTTTTTAATTTAAAATTTAGTATAAACCATTGCCTCTTCTTTTTCTTTACACGCAGAAAAACAACAGACAACTGATTGAGAGTGATGTTAAAAACTGATTTTAATTGCTTTACATGCTGCCATAAGAACAATAAATCATTAGATCATATATGAGACAAACTGCTTTGATTGTGCCTGCCAGTCAACCAGAGCAGCGTGGGATACTTGATTAACCATTTGAGCCCTGACCTCCTGAATCTACAGTGCCCCTCTACCCGAGCTCCAGAGGGATATATTACTAATATTCATGAAATCGTCAGACCATTTTTCATGTCCCAATCAGGGTAGTCCTTGTCAATACCAGCATCTTATTCAGAAAGATCTTCAAAATAATCAATAACGTCGCATGTAATAAAAACTGTTTTCCTTGTATGTTTTGTCCCAGACGGGCCGGGTTTGGGATGGGGTCTTGTTCACCAGTGTACTGGTGGCTAGGCATATGAGCAATGCGCCACCGGCATACCGATGGACCATAAAAACACATGTAGATATACACAGAAATTAAATTATTGACAGGTATCTACAGATTAATTTTCATAGAAGGAAAAAAAAAATAAAGAGATGAGAACAATGTTGACTTTCTCTTTGTTTTTGTCTCATCAGAGTCTACTTCAAGACTCAGTTGAGCTCACAAAAGACTCTTAAACTACTACCAAAGGTAAAAGGACATAAGCCGTGATGGAAGGAATACCTGTGCATCCAGAGTCTGTGCGGTTAAATCCATTTAAACATGAACAATTGTAGGAGCCCTCAGTGTTGTTGCACTCTTCGAAGCTGCCGCATGGATTTCCATCACATTCGTTAATGTCTGCTCAGAAAGAGTCAACATTATGTTGAGGGATGTTCACCATTTGCAAAATTAGATTAGGTTAAACAAGACAGAAAAATATGTATAACGAACTCAGTCACGATTTAGGAGCATTTACAATGAGAAAAATGTAAGATTTATTAAGTTTCAGGATGACTAATAGTTGAGTCTTCGTAAAAATCAAAAGCCCCTAGTCAGTTCCAAATGCTTTACACCTATATTGACACAAATTAAAACATTTTGGGGTGGGCGCTTCAACCTTGTCTGCTATGTCAAGCCTGGGCAGTGCTTATAAGCATCCCAACAGAAAAAGGGAAATATCAAAGAACTTAAGTACCCCTGACAGGAATAAAAAACCATACCTTTGGCAAGCAAAGTAAGGATTGTAAGACATAATGCCAGATGTCTGTAAGCAAAGACTTCTAAGAAGAGCTCACAACTCTACAAGTCACCAATAACAGGACATATGTTTTTGCCTAACTATGTTTTAAGTACGTAACATTTTAATTAGCATGATTCACTGGGGTACCTTCTACAAGTAGACTATGATGACAATTGTCGTTATGTTATGCAGTTTAGCTATTTTCTTTATTCACATAAGTGGTAAATTTATTCAATATACCCGGTGCACAAAACATCCATATTCACAAAGTACTGGTATAAGATAGAAAATATGTTTTCAGAGTCAAAACTTTATTGCAAAAACCTTCAATGAACAACTAAAATACAAGTAAATCCATCTTGTTAAAGTAAAAAAGATGTCTTAATTCATTGGGTGGTACCAGTTAACACAGGTGAAAACTGTACACTCAGTCAAAGGAAAACCCCCCAGATGCAACAGAAAATAAAACTTGAAAGAAAAGTCAAAGAGAGCAGAAAGAGAAGCAAGTCTCATTGCATCTGTGCTTTACCTTCACACCCCGTTCCAGAGTCGACAAAACCAGTATTACATGTACAACTGTAGTTGCCAGGTTCGTTGCTACAAACTTCATTCACCTGGCATGGGCCACTGTCACATTCATTGATGTCTGTACAGAAAGCAAGTTTTCATGATTTTACCATACCATCAAAAGACTATAACAAATAAATGCACAAACTATGATGTAGTAAGAAAAGTAGCAGCCTTCATTAAAAGATCATTAAAATAGAAAGCGGAATAAAGACAGCAAATTTTATTCATGTTTTGACACACGTCAAAGTGAACCTTTACATCCTGAAAATAATCTTGACATCCCCGAATTCATGAAAACTCAAGCTCTTTTTAAAAGAAATATGACCCATTTGTTTCAACTTCCAGCATTCTTCAATAACATCAATCGTATCAACAGAGACATACATGTGAAAGAAAAATGATTTGTTCATATTGTATCAAGGTCACCAGAAAGGTCGCCTGATCTTTATTTCCAACAAATTGCTTTCATGCTACTATGATCATATAAAGTTTGCCCAATACACTTAGCAACAAATATGTATTCTCAAAACTCATTTTTATGAAAATCTTGTTTCAAGAGAGCCCACTCCTCTTAAAGAGTTGTAGTCTACATAACAAATGAAAAATTCACCTCCTGATGCCAGGCTTTCAGTCCCAATATTGACAATAATTAATTGATTTATGGTTTTTATAATGGCTATCTGCAATCAAGGAGAGTTACCTTTGTTTGTTAAAATGCTATCCTTTCATTGTAGCATGGTTTTCTTAGCAAAGGGTCTGTTTTGAGTAAGTTTGAGTTTTAAAAAAAAGGTAGAATCGTTATTTTTTTCATAAAAAGCTGGAGACTACAGTAAACCAGAATCAGGGTGGGGATGGGATTCAAAGGGTTAACAGAAAAAGAAATGTGATTTACTGACAAAAATATAGGTATTCCTTCCAATCATTATGGTCTTTGAAAACAATCTTCTCCATCGGAATTCATATATCATCAACCACATTACAAGGACGTGAGTATTGTAATAAAAATATTGCTGTGTGCCTAACTGGCTAAGTCACTGTTCATGGTCGGCAGGATAAAGGCATAGTGATGATTGAGTAATGAATTGACCTTCCAAGAGAAGAAAGTTTGATCCATCAACGGGAGGGGGATACAAGACTTAAAATATTAATATAGCTTTATTAAAAGCAGGTTGATCATAACACAAACCGGTCATGAGTGCAAGAAAAAACTCACAAACCTAAAATACCGGTACGTCAAATTTCAGTGCAAATTGTGATTTCAAAAAGCCAAATTAGTGAATTTGTGCTTAGAGAGGACGCAAACTAAAAGCTCTGTGTCATACCCCCCCCCCCTCCTTTCTACCTGGGAAACAATATTCACTAAATATTTCTTCTTCCACTTGGTTTGGTTAAGGGTATTCACGGACTTATCATTTTTGTTCAGATTTCGCTTATAGTTTTCATTTTTAAAAAGGGGTACAATTTGTACAACAGTTTATGTCTGTTCTTTAAAATGACTTGAGTGTTCCATGTTGTGTAGATTCAATAAAGCGGCCACTTCAGTATACTGCTGCACTAAAAGAGCCCTGACCTACAGCTAGATTTTGCAACTGTGGTTATGTATGGGATAGTGTTTGGATCAGGCTGCTCCCTAATACCACCTTAGCTGGTCCCCAACCTCATCCTCCCTAGTCACTCATATCTTCAGCATTGATTCTACATGTACCTAAATTAAAGGAAAAGAGACTTCGTTATTTTTCATTTAAAACTAGGAAGGAAATGATAAAATAGAATGAAACTATATTGTACGATACTCCTTGATGTCTTTATTCGAGACAAGGCTTTATCTGTTAACCCTCACAAACTGATTCAGATGACAATATTGACTTTGTTTCCTGCCTTCTAGGATAGAAGTGGGTTAGCCGTAATCAATGATAGTAAATAACAAGATGGGCCACTCAGCCAAAAAAGTGTCCGCAGGAAGTAAGCTCTTTGCTTCAGATGGCGCTGCAGTCTGTTTTGAAGCTCTCTTTCGTTTTTCCAGAAGAAGAATAGGAATAGCACCTCCTTGCGTGCGCAGATCGACTGCTGTTCATCAGCAGTTCAGGTTCGTTCAGTACGGAGTTTTAGGTTTTTAAAATTTTAATGACCTCTTGCCTTTCATTCTAAAGTCAAATTAAACGAAGAAAACAATCACCCTTTCCTCCGGAAGAGGTTTTTTGTCAGCGTAACCATTAAAAAAAAGCGTTCTTCCGAAATTCATTCAAAAACTTGCTAGTTTCACTTTGATTTTTTAAAACTCAAGTAGGATAACTCTGTTCGCTAAAGATGGGCTTTTGCGAAGAGGGCGCCACCGAATTTTGTTGACACTTTTTTAATTGGCTCAAAGAGAGAAGTGACCCATCTTGTCTTGTACTATCTTTGCCGTAACACATACTTATTGCTGTTGCAAAGGATCATAATAGAAATCTCTAGAGAATATGAATAATGATGGTCCATTCTTTGCCAACTATGTCCGAATATATCAATTTATCCAGATTAAAAGAGGCTCAGGAGATTTAATATACATGTTCTCGTCCTGATCATGTTTTCTTTCTCCCTATCCTCTATATTATCTCTCACAGGCCAGAATCTCACCAGCAATTCAAAGTCTTACCTGTACACACAGTATCATTGAGGGCAAATCCACCAGTACAGGAACAGTTGAAAGAGCCGGGTGTGTTTGTGCAGACTTCATTCACTGAGCATGGGCTGCCATCACATTCGTTTTTGTCTGTCAGAAAGAAATATAGTCAACATTATTATGTTCAGGGATGAGGCCAAAACAAAATTTTTAAATTCTGCGCTTCTGAAGTGCGGTTTGAAAAGAAAGATGACAAATTATAGTTTAAGAACCGGCATAACAGGACCCTAATAAAACAAAATGTGTTCCATGTTATGAATCACTTAGGAGTTGTCAAGTGATAAAACAGTTTAAAGCTTGTAGACATAAAATGTCTTTCAACCCACGGTTGACCTGTGGTCAATTTTAGGAGTAAAAGTAAGAAATAAGAACAAGACTCTAATTAAACAAAATAAGTTCCATATGATGTATCTTTTAGGAGTCATCAAGCGATCATATTTCAGTTTAAAGTTTGTGGACATAAAATGCTTTTCAACCAACTTTTCATATATTTGTTTTTGCTTAAAGTGAGGTTAATTTTAGGAGTAAAAGTAGTTTACTGGTCCAGATAGTTAATTCTTGTAGAATAAAACAGTAGATTAGTATTTCAATCAATAGTACCAAAGGTATCTGGGCAGCGAGAAAAGCCCCAATGACTTTGGAATATTTTCATGAATTGCTTTTATTTGAAGCTGTTATACTAACATAACAATTCAATCTACAGATTATTCCCAACAAAAATTAAAAGAAAATGTTTACAAGAATAAAATCTGGCAGTCAGTTTCAGTGCTTTTTAAATAATAAAATTCCTTTTGCAAAAGATGAACATATAAAAAAAGCCTTTCAGAAAAAACACAAAAAAGAGCGAAAATAATGATTGCACGAGGAAGTTTAACTCGGTACAGGCACTCAGCCTTGCTTCATGCCTTAAGAATAAGGAATTCTATTGATAAAATCCAAAATTAAAAAAAAAAAGAATTGAACAAAAGTTTTAAAATTGAAAGAACTTTTGCAACATACAAGAGGAGAAAGTCTTGTTACTTTTTTTATACTTTACCTTCACATCCTGTTCCATTGTTGACAAAACCAGTGATACAAGGACATTTGTATGTGCCAGGTTCGTTGATACACCTTTCATTCGCCTGGCATGGGTTAGTGTCACACTCATTTATGTCTGTTCAGACAAAAAAAACAACGATTTAATTTAATTTTAGTAAGCGTTTTACAGTACTTGCAACACATTTAGACCATATAAGTGCCGAAAATAAAAGGTGTTACAAGAGAGTGACAAATACCAAAAACAAGGAGGAGACATAAGGGTGATAGATAGTTGATAGGAAAGAAGGAGCAAACCACACCACAGCACCTGCCAACCACCCACAGCAGTTTGTTGATTTTTTAACTTTTTGTTTTCACATCAGCAGAAGAACAGAAAGAACAGAAAGTACAGAAAACACTAAAACTAATTAATATATTAACTCTGGGATTCACCTGAACACACATCATTGTTGTCTTTTATTATCGTGTGAAACTTAAAAGTAAAAATGTAACAACACCACAGACATTTTCTTACCTTTAAACCTCTCTATGATGCAAGATGGAATAGGTTACAGAGTTTTAATAGGACAACAATAAATGGTTGCATATTCCATTTGTGGCTTCATTAGGGGAAATCAGTTCTCCATTATGTGGGAAAACTGAGAACTGAGAAAATAGTAATTGTTTGGCAATGCCAACATGATTCAAGATGAGTCAGATGAATGTATAGAAACTATGAGAAAAGGTTAAAAAAAAAATTAATTAGTATTTGAACTCTGGGATTTACCTGAACACACATCATTGTTGTCTTTGCTATATCCATCTAGACATGAACAGCTGTAAGAGCCATCAGTGTTGGTGCACTTTTCACGCAGTCCGCATGGGTTTCCGTCACATTCATTTGTATCTGCTCAGTAAGAAATAATCAACATGATATACAGTGATTGACAAAATTGAACAAAAAATGTCTGGTTTTTTAATATTTTGCTTGCAGAAACATAGACTCTTATATTAACTATAATAGCATGTGTAACAGAATGCACATTCAACAAAAATAAAACGTAGGGATAACCATCTCAGGGTAGGGCCCATGACAATAAATCTTATTGTGACAATTGAAAGCTGGCAAAATAAAATACCCTCAACTTACAGTACAACTTCTTTCAAAGTGAGATCAAGATCAATTCTGTGTGAGGCCTTGTGGGACCATCTTAAAGGAGAACTTATCTCATTCCAGATACCACAACTTATCTTAATGAGGCTACTTTGACAGCGGTTACACTGGCTGTGGATCTCTGCAGTATTTTTTAACTGACACTTTTTATGCCCTTACGAGCTTGTTAAATGTAACACTAGAGGTACGCAATTGATTAGTACACTTCTCTCTTAGATTACATTCCTAAAACATCTATACAGTGATTGCTATTTTTACAATGCTCAGCTCTTTCCGGTATTAAGACAGTTTAATAAATGGCCAGAAAAAAAAGTAACACTACAAAACCAAGCACATGTAGACAAGCAGAGCATTGAATCCATGGGGAAGTTTTACTCCAACACTGACAAAGCTAAGCTTTATAGTGAGTAGTGAAACTTCTTTGTTGAGTCTGGGGTAAAGAATAGAATTTTAAAACAAATCCTGCCTAAAAGAAATGTGAGGCAGCGTGGTGAAATCAGGCGTTCATCAAAACAATGAATTAAAAGAAATCTGCATTTTTCTGAGCATTGGGGAATTTTTTCCGAATTTTCTTTTTTTGGGGGGGCTCAACACCTTTTAAGTACTTTTAAAACCGCATTCTGTGTGGTCATTATCAAAAAAGTTGATTAACCCTGGAAGCGTGCAGGCCCTATATATTATTATAGGGCTGAACTACTTCAACCAAGGAAGTGCGCAGGCCCTATATAAAGGACATAGGCTCTGACCCTTTTCAATGGAAAATTTCAGTATTCCTTATATGGAAAATGACGTAGTAAGTTGAGGGTCAAAGTTATAAATAGTGATCAATGACTTTGCAAGTTATGTTGACCTCGTAGCGTGTCTCTTGGCCCAGATATCAATCGATAAAGTGACACAGTCCAGCTGGACGACTACACGCTATGTGTTACCACTTGTTCCACTGTGCTAATGTACCAATCGTTTTGCACTTTGTTTGTATTTATTCAATCGCTTATCATTTTTGAATGGCTCATTCTATCAGCTTTGAGGAAAGATATGGTTTTAAATGCCTTTTATCATCTGCTGAGCCGCAAATTGTCATTTTTCAGTAGCAGGTTCACCATCAATGGTGCCTCTATAAATAGATCGTTGATGGTCAGGTCAGGATCACATCTCTGATACGTCAACTGATATCCCCCAACCAAACCCCCATGTTTACAACCAATCCGCTGTGGCGGTGGGCATTTGGGACAGGTTACTACCAGTGAAACGCTCACGAAGCGGGTTAAAGGCACTAAAAATGTTATTTCCAGTATCCAAGTGCACTCAAGCTTTAAAAATGACCAAACTTTGGTGGCCATTTTCTCGCTAATTTTACCTCTCATACAAGGTGACCCCCACCTCCTTCAATTGCAAATATCTCGACTTCTATACAAGATGGATGGGTATATTTTCCCCCAAGGCAAAACAAAAGACCGAGCTTTAAGATGATATTAATAACACTGCATACCCAAAAATTGATGAGTGCATGATTTCACAGTGTCGAGACACAAATGTAATGAAGAAGAGTATAAGGAAGCAAGTGTCAACAGTGCTAGTTTTACCTGCGCAGCGTGAATTTACGATGCCATATCCAAGCTTGCATGTACAGGTGTAAGAGCCCACAGTATTGCCACACGCTTGGTTAACACCACACGGGCTGTCCAGACATTCATTTATGTCTGCTCAGAGAGAAAAAGTTTCCAATGCATTTCAAAATCATTTTTTAAAAAAGAAAAGAGAAAGCGTACATGGCACAACATAACAGTAAATCTTGCGACGCCTCTTCGTTGTTAACATGTTATGCTTTTACCCTACAGCTCTATTATTTGCTTGTGGAAAATGTAAACCACAGAAGTTATTGGCTCTTGCATTTCACAGACCATAACAGTTCCCATCACATAAACAGGCCCGTTAATCACACAAAAATAATCAACAAAATTAAGTGTATGTCTTCTTCTCGGGTTGACAGTTTGCAATCATTCAAGAAACAGAAATAAACTTTCAACATGAAAACAGAAAACTGTAAAAAAAAAAAAAAAAAGGCTTATATTATGGCACTTGAATAAAACTTATACATTAACTAGTCTGAAAAAACGTTGATCTGAAGCACCACTGTACTTAGCTTGTCTTTGAGAATATACACTTTAGTCCCCTTGTAGGGGTTGTTGTCTATTTTGTAGAACAGAGCTTATCAATGAGCTTATACTACTATTTTTTTTTAATGAAAAATTCCAAAACTGTTGTCTTTTCTTCTTTTTCCTTTGCTTCTCTGTCTTCTTAAAATCTTTTCATCTGCATAAAAAAACTTGATTACAGGAAAGCCCTCATTTCAGTTACTCACAACAGGCATATACTCTTTTATGCCTGAACATGTATGCACATATATAACCACATATGTGTCCCTGCCGGTCAATATCAGTCATATGAAGGAAATTTCAAAATAAGTTAACATTATTTTCAAAAACAATCACCTTTTCCCTACAATTTAAAACAAGAATGAAGTAAATATGACCATATTTGACGAAAATACAGAACTTTTAATTGTGCGAGATGAGGAAACACGAAAAGGAAAAAATGACCTCCGAAGTTGAGCAAGATGTTTCCATAGCAATGGGGGTCTTAGAATTGAGATAGAGATTTGAAATTTCACAGTTATCTTGGCTATGCCACTACAATGTAACATACAGAAGTTGAAAACTACATGTATTCATTCACAGAGAAAAAACTTATGGACAAAACAAAATTTTCACGAGAATGGACTTCACGTCTAATGCAACGAAAGATACTAAATTTTCAAAGTAACTGTATGTCAAATTAATCAGTTTCATATAAAAGGCTTATGTTTCCTGAGAATTTTAGTACCATACTTTTCCCTCTCAGTCAATGTTTAAGAGAATGGCAGCTGTTGCAATTTAACATGATATTGCTGAAGTCGCTAAATGGCTGCAACGCCATGACTGACAGATAATAAAAGAGTACCAAGAACACCAAACATCATTCTCTACATTAACAGAGCACAATCATAGTAACAAATAAATGAAGTCTAATTTTTTTCAAGACTGTGAGATCATTACCAATCAGTATTTTATTGCTTCAAAAATGATGATCTGTCGTTATTTCAATAAAAACACCTAGCATTGTCTCGGCCGGGGCCACATCGGTCCCCGTGGCGAGTGAGCGGGTCTATATTGTAGCATACTGAGTGCTCAAAGGAGTTTCGCAGAAGGATTCATGCAAAATAGTTCCAAGCGGATGACTTTATTCTAATATATAAAGTACTATTCTTTCTATTGGTACCTTTTTAAGCCAGTATTTTAAACATTTCGTGTTAAAAATAATCTTTGAAAACTTACACGCTTTTTCCAAGGTTTTATCTTTTTATTTCTGACTATTCATGCTCGAAAACGGGTAAAAATCTAATAATAGTTGCGAATGAAGAATGTTGAAGCAAAGATACTCCACTAGTGGAGAATCTTTGGTTGAAGCAAAGGTGGCCATGAGGTAATGGTTTTAAAAAATAATCTCACAGCTACACATTACCAAGGTCCAAATTCCTTTATCCTCACAACAAACCACACACACCTCCAAAATAAATCAGAATAAAATATTTATAGTCGATCATACGTGTTGTTGTTTATTTTTATCTAAAATGAAGCAGAAGACATCAAACTTTCAATAGATTTAAAAAAAAAAAAAATTTCATGGAAAGTCACTTTTTTGTCTTTCAAGCCTTGTAGCTGATAATAGCAAAGTGCGTGTTATGACTGATATTGAGTGGGGAAGACAGATATGCATACACACATGCTTTCTACTAGTATTTGCAATATCTACTCATGCGTCCCGGCACAACTGCAATGCCATTTTCTATATAAACAGAGTAGAGTGGTATCGTTATCATTCATTTTCTAGCAGCAGACGCTTTCTTACTGCTGCAGTTGGTAGCCTACATCAGGGATGTAATAAAAACGAACAGCATTTATTTAAAAAATCACAGACAAATCCTATACGTAATTAACGCTTTACCTTGGCACAGTGTTCCATTGCGCTGAAAGCCTGTTTTACAAGAACATAAATAGGAGCCCATGTTGTTGACACACACATCACCCACAGGACATGGGTCACTTTCACATTCATTTTCGTCTGTTGAGAAAGAAGAAATAGTGGGCTTCAAAATAGTTTCCTCAAAAATAGTATTATTAAAAAAAGACTCACGGTAATAATACAAAAATGAAGAGAAAACAAGTAAACGTGAAAATGTATTAGCTATATAACTCATGGATGCCTTTGGTTGATTATCACAAGCTTACGTGATTAACCTGGTGTGGCATCAGTGGCCTAGTGGTTAGCCTCTTGGACTTGCAACCATAACGTTGTGGCTTCGAATTCCATCAGAGGCCTGATGTTGTGCCTTAGGAAAGGCATTTTACACAAATTTTCCTCACTTCACCTATGCGTAAATGGGTACCTGGCTACAGACAATGAGAGATCTTGTCAGTTGGTTAATGCTTGAGTGAATTAAATCTGCAGCTTGCACTGTTCGCTTCCTGGGAAGCTGATAAAGACTCTGAGTGTTCTAGGGTCTGCTGGGATAATAATGGTTGTAAATTACATAGAGCATGCTGTAGAGTTTGGATATGTGCTATATAAATGCAAATATTATTATCATATTCTTCTTCTTCTTGTTTATGAATTATTATCATTATCGTTATTTTTATTATTTACTCACCATCACATTCACCGGTCACTGTATTTACTCTGAATCCTGGAGCACAACGGCAGGAGAAAGAGCCAGGAGTATTGACGCACACCTGGTTCATCCCACATGTTATGATTTGGCATTCATCATTATCTGCAAATACACACACAAGATATGAAACGTATTTGTGTGATCGTCTCAAAACGAAGCTCAAATACATTTCACCATAATCAAATGCCATGAGTTAGGTAGCAGCAAGAAGCAGTGAGATGAACAAAGAGCTTTTGGTTCCATCAATTCAAGCTTAACCCTTAAAACCCTGAATTCTTTTTTTTCATACCTCCCTAGAACCCTGAATTAAAATCAAGATATAAAAAAAAATCAGGTTGGTTCATTGTTTTATTTACTGTGTCTTTAATCGTTATTAGATTTTACTAAAGTTTGAACATTTTATTTATATGTGAATTCACAGTCTGGACAAAATGGGAAAAGGTTAAAACACCGGTTTTTAGAACCAACTCAATGAGTAAAGTCTTGTGTGTGATCCCTGACTCCACTTCAGTCAAAGCAACACAAGACCCAGCCGTAGATCTAGCCAATGGCAGCTCTTGTGATCCCCTGCAACTTCCACTACTGTCAAAATCATCATCGATGTTATGCAAAACATAGAAATCATCTTCAACAGTCATATTTATCGATATATCCGATTAGGAAATCATCATAAGCGTCTGGTTCAGGATAAAAAATGTCAACAATTTTGCGGCCTGATGGTCCTGGCAACGAAAAGTAACTAATTTTTTTCAAAAACTCGCAAAAAATTTCAAACTTTTGGTGAAGAATTGCTTTTAGGACATTATTGATACTTTCTGCTCATGACAGAGTCATCTGGAGTTATATCCCTTGTTACTAGAACTGGAAATTATACAATAAAGGTGACTAGCAGTTACCAGCGGTATAGGAAAATACGGCGTCAGCGGTTACAAGCAGTATATGGTTTTTGCATACAAAAAAACAAGCATATTTCCTGGTCCTCACTGCCATTCTTCCCTTTCTAAATTTTTTTTCTGAAATTATTTCAGGAAAAGTAGATAGGTGAAAACGTAATAGGCTACAATACACACTCAAAAACAGTGAAACAATCTGTCCACAAACAATAGCAGCTTCAAAAATAAAATACAATGTAGAAACCCCTCAAAGTCCATACCCTCGCAATCCTGTCCATTGTTAAAGTAGCCATTTGGACAGATGCAGTCATAACTTCCCGGCTTATTGACACATGTAGCAGGAGGGTTGTATGAACCACAGTCGTCAGTCCCTGAAATAAGATCAATACAAAGATGTATAATACAAGCTACATGGAATTCTAACGGTATCTGAAATGTCCATTATCATCTGGACACACCTACAGGAATAAAAAGTATTATTTTACACTGTGTCATACATGACACAAAAATGAATTACTTACAAAAACACATAACTAAATGAGGAAAATTGACAAAACACGCTCAGAAGCAAGTATGTATATAAGACCAAAACAAAAAGTATTTACCAGCTTCACATTCATTGATGTCAATATCACAGAGTGTTCCATTCCAACCTTCTCTGCAACCACATTCTCCGGACGTTTTATTGCAAAAATCTTCTCCTTGGGAACACGAGCATACTTGGCGACAGCCAATTCCAAAAAAGCCATTATCACATTCTGAAAAAAAAGAAGTTTTAAACTTGTAACATGAACCTTTCAACACTGCTACCTTTCACTAATTCTGTAATTTCTTAAGACAATATTAACAAGGGTTATAATACATCTATCATAATATCTGTTGACAAATCAAACATGAATTATACCAGTCCTTTTGAAGAAAGAATTAAGGCATACCACAAGTTCCTGTAAATACTAACATCACACCCTATTAGCCTATATGAATGACTGCAGTATGCTCATAACTTATAACAGGTTCCAACCATAAATATGCCCTTTGGAGGAGTAAGAATGGTAAACTGAAGAAAAAAAGTCGCCATCAAAGAATTTTCCTCAAGTTGTTTGAGCCTTTCATTGAAAGTAATGTAATAAACACAAATTGGAACTTTTTAATAGACAGCCTCGATGACAAATATAAGCCTCCAGAGCTGGTTTGTAATATCAAGAAAGTTTCTTGAGTAAGCATTTTTTTTTTCAGAAAGAGGTACAGCAATGGATATCTAAAGCAATACTATTTAATGGCCGATATTTGCATGGTACAAGCACATATTTCCACTCCATATTTGCCTGTGAAAAGTATAACTTTACAAAGTAGGTAACATTTACATAACTTTTTTACTGTGACAAAACTATCAATTTTAAGACCACTGCAAACCCTTTAACAATACATCTGACAGTATTATGGATTACTAACTCAAATCCCGTTTTTAAGAAAAAGTAGAAACAGTACTTAAACCATTTTTAAAAATCTGTTAAAAAAAAAAACAACTTTTACCATCACCAAAATGCAGATTAAGGCTATGATCAAGGCTTACGATTTTCCACAACATCTTTTCCGACCTTAAATCATCAGAAGATCATTAACACTCTGTCATGTACTCAAAGCTTTCAGAGAGCACAGAATTTGCTTGGAAAAATGGTTTAACATGAGAACACAAGAATCTGCATTGACATAAAAAAGGGAATGCTACTACAGTGTCTTATAGATATCTTTTAATAAAGTTCACTACCAGAAAAACCTTCTCATCTGCACAATCTACCACACTAACACCAAATGAAAAGACTGATTTTCAGGGTGAACAAGTGACAAATCAGTATTCCTTCTTATCAAGAACAAATGAATGTTGGCAGTGAATAAGAACAAATTGGAATACACCATTTGCCAAAGCTAAAATCTACTGAAACATTTAGTTTTCCACAGATTATTATAAAACACTTGTACATAAAAAAAACCTTCAGTTTTTGAGTATAACGATGATGTTTGCGATATTTTTGCTGAGTAGACTGGTCCTCTGGCCACATTACACGCGCACGCGCACACACACACACACACACACACACACACACACACACACACACTCACACTAGGAAATAGATAGTGACGGAATAAGTGAAAAAGAGGTTAGCAAAAGAGCTTGTAGTATCTTCTTCTTCAGTACTCCTCCTCATAATCTCCTTCATAATCGAGTGCAGATTCTTCAGCAACAGAATAGCTCAACTGCACATGAGTTTAACAGTTTATTTTCCGACTAAAACATAGCACCTTTCATTTTCAGGTAGCCATAACAATTTTAAAAGTATTCTTTATTACTTATGCTTTCAAGTGTTTCTACAGTTCAGCATAGAGATCATTAGCATCTGTGGCATAGCACTTAGGCATTTTGCTGTCTTAGGCTGGAGATCTAGGCTGAGTTCAATTCTCGAGTGGGGAGAATTTTATCAAGTGTGTCTGTCTTTCTGCTGGGATGTTGTATCCCTCTCCACCCTGGTTGGCCCTGACTCCTAAATGATTTAAATTGTGTAAATGAGGGCATAAAAACACCTACATTAAAACCAAAATGCAAAGGGATTAGTGTAAAACGTTTCCTCTGCAGTCAGGCCATGCTCTTCCACTTTCTCTTGATTTAAATACATCTACCAAAAAAGTATGCATCATCCTTGAATCAAACCAGAAAAGTGCACTGCAATGTATAATAAGCACATTTTCATGTGAGCCCAAAATCAACGGTATAAGAGAAATTCATGAACACATCAGTATTCAATAATGACAAATATCAACACAAAACGTCCTAATTAGTTGTTTTTTATTTGGTTTTTAAGGAAGTCTTACATCAGTATTTATCTTTGTCGAGATAACAAGAAATAACAACTGATAACAACAAATATCAACACAAACGTCCTAATTTATTGGCTTTTAATTGGTTTTTAAGGTAGTCTGCTTACATCAGTGTTTATCTTTGTCGAGATAACAACAAATAATTGATAAGGACAAATAACAATTGATAACAACACATTAATGACAAATATCAACACAAACATCCTAATTTAATTTTTTATCCAATGAATTGTTACTTTCGATTTGAATGTACACAAAAAAAGGGACGCAACTCCGGTACTCCCGTCATCGCTACGAATAGTCTACTTCCAGTAGTTGCTTTGAGTTGTGCACGTAAAGTAGGAGCCTGGTTAACCACATGAATATTTTTTAGGCTGGAATTAAAGTATTTTTAAGTTATCAGTTGTTATTTGCTGTCATCAGTTATTATTTATTTGTTGTTATTTGTTGTTATCTTGATAAAGATAATTGCTCAACACATCTTACAAGCGAAAAAATAACTTGCCTTCACACTGGCCAGACGTCACATTCTTGACAGAGTATCCGCTTCTGCATGGGCACAGGTAGCTGCCACGTGTGTTCAGGCAAAATGTGAAGTTCTTATCATCACACGGCCCGGCTGGCAACAAGCACTCATCTATATCATTTTCACACCTTAAACCATCAAAGCCCTGAGACCAACACAGAGAAGAAAAAAAACAACAACAACAAATTCATTTAGGTTTCTTTACAATATTTCTATAGGTTTGAGACCTTTTGTGGTCAAAATCTGAATGACAGACCTCACTTCTACCCTTGAGCAATTTTCCAAGGGGTAGCCATCTTTGGAGAACTTCTGTGTTTGTTTGGTTTGTGCGATGCTTATGGCGCTTAATCGGGAAATTTCTAAATGATTGTTTTACAAGTGTGCATTTACAGAATATGAAAATATTGAATATTTTCAAATTATAGCCAAATTCTGTTTTTCTGTGGGACAGCCCTCGTAGCTCTATATATGACTATATTGGACAATGGAAGCTTTAGAAAGCTACACAAAGTGACTTTGAAATAAAAACAGGAGAAGTCTGATCCAAGTAATAGTAGACCTTGATCTACATTTTAAAAGTGATAACTATCTTGTAATTGAACTTGTGAGTTCAGTCTCAAGAAAAAAGAGACACCCATAACAAACAAATAAAGATGTGCAGTAGAGTCTAAATAAGAAATATTTTAAAAGTTAAAAAAACAAAAAACCATTCCAATCAGATTGAAGCACAGAGAGTCATAAAACATGTCCAAAGAATTTGAAATGAGAAAAATCATCAGCAAGTTAGTTTGTAAGTGTTCTACTGAAGGAGAAAACAGTACATTCCCCAAGCTCCACAGCATTTTAGCAAACACAAAATTTGGTTTGACTCACATTCGTACAGTTGCAAGTCCCTGTGACTGGATCACATAACTCTGTGCCCTCTCCCACACAATCGCAAACACCACTGCAGGCAAAACCAAACTTGTCAGGAGGACAAGCTGTTGATAAAAAAAAAATTATGACATATGACAGCAATGATTTAGAGGCCCGTCAATAAAGATAACTTTCAAATAAATAACAATAGATTGCATTCTTAGGATACATAAATCTAAAGTTGGTTCACGTGTCCTCTCTCATTTTGACATAAGAAGAAAAAACAATGATGTATATATATATACCTGTATACACAGCAAAAATTTAGAACATAAAGTCGTGCACAGCACTATGACAAAACAGCTGGCCAATGGTTTTGTTGTTGAGTTGCTGACAATGAAAAAACCAGAAGCACTACTAAATAATCGTGTTGTATTGTTGCAGTAGGCCTCTCTTATTTTCAATGTCCACAATTCATCAACAAAACTGTTGGACAACTGTTTTGACATAGTATGGTACAAGGCCAGCACTCCTTCCTCTTTCAAAGTAAAAGTTGATGGTAGGGCATGCTGGGGGTAAACACATAATAGGAGACATGGCCTACATTAAAAGAAACAAGAAATCCCTACAAGAATAACAAAATGGGAAACACAGTTTATTTAAAGCGTGAAGTAACAAGGAGATAAACAACATGCTACACTTGTCAAAACACTCAAAGCAACTGAATTTGATTTAATCTTAGAAAGCTTTCTCATCACAAGCTGTTCACCCTAGTCGGCTACAGTGAGAAATATTCCACATTATGAACCCTCTAGCCACAATTTATCATTGTTCTTACTGTCACAGTTGATCCCGTCCTCTGACAATTGAGTTCCTTGTGGACACTGGCACTGAAAGTCCTCTCCATTTTCTATCTCTTCACATCCAAACTGGCACTGGTTGTTCTCACAGAGATCCACGTCTGAACAAGAAAGAAGAGTGAACAGAAGAACGAAAACTTTATGGTTTTTTACACTTTACAATACTGGTTGATATATTTGATTAATCCACTTTCACAGCATGCAACGTCACAGTAAAGAAATAAATAAATAGAAAAAAAAAAAAAAAACCTTTTCTGGTCAAGAAAAATTGGGAAAGGATGGAAGCACAAAACAGAAATGTATAATTCAGGAAAAATTATTTACAGACAATTCATTCTCAATAACAACTTACCCTCACACAACAGTTCATTATCAGGGTTGACCCGTTGTCCTCGAGGACACAGACATTGTTCTTGACCATTCAGCACCTCGCAGTCAAAGGAACAGTTCTTGTTTGTACATTTATCCTGGCCTGTTGAAATGACACAGAAAGCTCATAAACAATTTAGTCGATCCTCTTCGAACATAACATTCAATAAAATTCCCTTTCCTATTTCAGGCTGCTATCCCACACAACCCATTAAGGGATAGGTGTGTTAAAATTTCAATTTTTGAAATGAAACAGACCAAGGCAGTTATTGTGAAGTTATGTGAGGTCTGCCAAAGAAAGGAATGCACAATTGTAATAACAATCATTTTAATTTACTTGGGGAGGATAGGATGGCCTGAGAGAAAAGCCAAAATTATAGAGACACAAACTAACCAAACTCAAAGTTCAAAGCTAGGAAGACGTACATGATGGAATATGGAGATGGCCCTATACTGGGACTTTTTAACAAGTTTACCCACTTTAGCTTGTGTAACAGTCATATCTAAAAAATACTTGGGATATCTTAAAACTACAAGAGCATATTAATCAGTAAAGACTCTGCTAAATAAAAATGAAATAATATTAGCAGCTAAGAAAATGATAAGTTGGTCCTTTCCCTCCATTCACATGAATGCATCGCAAAAAAACTTGGAGCCATAAGAAAGCACACACTTTTTGATAATCTAGAAGATGGTAGAAAGTCAACAGTTACAGATTTTGACCTATCACTCTCTCCTCATTAACCCCTGTCTCCCAGTTTGTCACTATAAAATCATAAAGAGTTGGATATTTATTAAATATAGGCGGGTCCAAATCAGCCTTCTAAGTTTGTGTGTGGGTGTGGGTGGAATGAGGGGGAGGGGGGGGGGGAGAAACGATGAAAGCTGTGTACAAAAATCAAAATTTTCCGACTCCTTCTGGATGAGATCTAGAAGGTAAAGTTGACAGTTTGGGACATTCTCTAAAAAATAGTCTCTTAAAGTACTTACAGGATTTTCACAATTTACTTGACTTTTATAATAACCTTTCAGAAAATCAGCATACCCAGAGCCTTGTAAACTTACTTTCACAGGAGAAACCATCAGACTGAGGAATAAATCCAGACAGGCAGGCACATCTATAGCTTCCCTGTGTATTCACACATGCTTGAGAACACAACTGTCTGTTCTGAGAGCACTCATCAACATCTGCAGAAAATAATGGGAAATAATACTGAAAGTTTCCTGAAGAGCATTAGCAACACAGAGTAACAAAAATATAATAATAATGCTGGATATGCCTCAAGAGCATTAACAATTCACAATTATAACTACAAAAAAATACTGAGAGCGCTTCAAAAGCGTTACCTATTCATTATCACTCAACAAAAAAGGTCTTAGCCTCTAACAAGCATTATGTATATGAAGAACAGAAAAATCCCCCCCCCCCCAATTAAAACAAAAAGAAATTCACTGCAAAGACTTGACACTCTCGTTATCTTTGTACAATTTACCCTTTGAACTTCAACCCCAAATCACAACAACCACAACTCAGTTTCAGCTGAACAGAATCTTCATCTTTGACCAATCCCTCTTGAGTCAGAGGCATCAGAGCAGCGTCAATGTGACATTGGTTCGGCATCAGTACTGTGAAGTGAACAATTTGTCCCCAGTGACAACTCACCGACACATTTCTGGGATGCAGCATCGGTGACAAACCCTGTCCTGCATACACAGTAGTAGCTGCCGTCAGTGTTCTCACAGTCCTGGTCACAGACACCGTCGGCTTGACACTCATCAACATCTGTGATATGATTAACGATTCTCATTTCACTGATAAATACAGCTTGTCTTATGGTAACAGTGATCATCAGCATCTCTTTGGTTGGATCCTGTGATTTATGCTTAAATTATTCGGCACCCACCCACCCCCCAAAATTTTTTAAAAAAAATAAATAAAATATAAATAAATAAATAAATAAATAAATAAATAAATAAAACTTCAGTTTAGTTTAACAAGAGTTTTACAGGGCTCTCAACTACATAAGGTCATATGAGCATGTGAAACACAAGTTGGTTGCATTCACGACAGCTCACAATTTTATTACCTTGACTTGATTTTATTCAATACTTAGGTTAAAAGGCCTAAGAAATGTGTTTATGCTGCAAAAGTTGTTCAATACTAGCATCTTGTGGGGTAATAACTTCAAGTTTGATGTAGGCATGAGACATGAGGCCAAATTTAGAGTTGATTTGTTTAGTTTTCATTTTTAGTCAGAATTCTATAGTAGGCCTACTTGCAACACAATAAGGTCATTTAAGTGCTGAAGATTAGAGGAGTTACAAGAGAGTAACAAACACAAAAAAAAGAAGGAGAGATAAGGACGATAAGATGTTTGATAGGAAAGAAGGAGCAAACACACCAGATCACCCCCCCCAACCGCCAACAGAGCTGACTTGTCTCCTCAAATTGCACATTCAACAATTAAAGTTTCTGGGTAACAATCTCTATTAGTTCCAGAAGAAAAACTGCATGGGAACAAAGAATATTCTAGTAAACAAAATAAAGAACCATATCATTTCCTTACGATAAGACCGGCTAACCCAAAATTTGGACATGTGGATAGTAAATTATCCGTTTCATACGTTCAGTCTTAGGGTTTTGAACATTTTTCGTCTTGAACAGGGGAATTTGAGGAGGGCACCAGAGGGCCAGCTCATAAGCAGTGGGATCAAGGGTCACCTGTCTGGTCAGCAAATATTGGTCAAAACTGAAGAAAATATTGGTCAAAACTGAAGACTTCTCAAGTGCTACCTTAGCGTCTACGATAATGGCATGTGTCAGCCTTACTTACCCACTGTCACCAGTGGTTGCATCTAATATGACCACTGTTTGTCAAATTAAAAGCAGGAAAAGAACGATTGAATGTCACCTTTGTTTCCACCCTATGCCCTGCCCATCAGTGTAAAAACCACAATCAAGCAATGCCAACTCTCTCACACATGTAACATTGATTCGAGGAGCTTTTTTTCTTGACTTGCCATATGATCAAGATCACACCTCTTGCAACACGGGAATGTTTCTGTGCTCAAGCACCACTTGAGCACTTTCACAAGCAGTGGTGAAATTTTCACACCCACACCTCCCTGATTAACTACACCAAACATGGATGATGTTTTCAGCTACCCCCAAGCTGAACCCTTCCCCTTCCTCACCTGGCGGAATAGCGTAAAGGTTAGAGGTGCTGGAACCAAACTTGGGAGTTTTGTTTCAAATAAAGGAACAGCAGGCAAATAATTTTTCATCTTGGACAAGAGAAAACCCTCCAAAAGGAAGGAGTTTTTCTTTCCATTTCCAGATTGAGCATGATTCAACGTCTACTCTAACACGGGCCTGACAGCCGGGTGTCGCTTGCGCAACACTTTCGCAAGGTAAACACACGCACACACACACACACACACACACACACACACACACACACACACTCACATACACACTACACACACTTCTCTTTCTCTGTATCTCTCTGTATCTCTCTGTATCTCTCTGTATCTCTCTGTATCTCTCTCTTTCTCTCT